CTCAGTAGACAGTAAACCTACAAAGCTTTGAACTAATTTATACAATTTTGTTAGTTAACTTTTTCAGGTATATTTGGTATGCACACTATCTCCCCCTCCCTCTTCAACATCAAGATCTGCAAAATTAAATTCATGSCAAAAACTGTAATCCTTAGTAAGGACTTCTACCTCAAAAAACATATGGAGCCCAAAATCACCTAGTTTTATCAACATTATGGTTTAAAGTGTCCTGGACCAGTTGCTTTAGTTTTCCCTGTTGTTCCAACTCAAAAATTCCTCGTGCAAAGTCAACAAACACGCGGTCAAGATAGTTGTCATCATGAATGCTGAATCCCTGCAGAAAACCAATGTGRCCACCATGTGACGTCATAACCATGGAAATGAGAGGGTTTTCTTCTATTGTATCGATAGGAATAGCTTTAGAAATAACAGAAGAAATGASACTTAATTATGCACCTCAGGAGAACATGAAGGATACAAATCGTAAAGACAAAAAAGCACTTGCTGTGGAAAAGAATATAGAAAGACATAATACTTTGGGGCTACAACGATTACAAAAGGCACTATCACTCCATTGGTGTCAGTACACTGCTTTGCATTCACATATAATGGTATTTTTACCATGTTCTGGTGAGAATGGATCATCGGCTGCAGTCAAACAGAGGACAGGAACTCGGATCCTGTGTAGTGGTTTGGTGTGCAGTGAGGCAGCATTGTAGTAATCTTCATAGCTTTTGTAACCAAATGTTGGTGAGGTGAAGCGATCATCAAATTCACGGACAGTCTTTGCCTTAAAAAATAAGCAACGAAGAGTCAAGCTAAAGAGAAAATGGGATAATAGGAAACTAATAGGAAACCCGTTACTTCGTTCAGCAAATCAGAATGGAGAAAAGTCACTTCATATTTGATTTCRGTTTCTATGCTTTTTCCACAACGGAATTTCAAGAATTTCATGATATCGAAAAAATACCAGTACCTGTAAAACATGATGAATATCGTATGGTGCTTTCCCAAGATGAGTCTTGAAAACATCAAGATTCCTACAAAAAATGTAAGCTTAAAATTTTTAAATAATTTTTTTTCCATCAAGAATGAGTGGGGTGTGAAGTGAAGAGTTTTTGTATGACTGAGTGTGAAAGTTTAATAATAACATATGAAAGATGAAACTTAAGCATTAACACCTACCCTTTTACCATCCTAACCAGGTTCCCTGTCAAGCGTCTATTGAACAGCAAGAAGTTCAAAGGTTGCTCTAGAGATASAGTGGATTCAGCACAGTTCCATGGTGTTGATACCACTAGGCAAGAAATGAGGCCTGTTTCCTTTTCACTCATCTCATTCAGGTAATTCATCATTATCATACTAAAAGAAAAAAATCCAAGAAAAGTTGCTAATTTTACTTTCATATAACTCTCAATATCTCTTTATCAAATCAAGTTAGATTTCATAGCACTGCATGGATATAGTCCTGACATCTTACGTCATCRAATATTACATTTTGTAAATTTATGTCCATAATGTTTTTTCATTAACTATACTATCTTTAATATCTATTTTAATTTCTTGAGCCAACAACTTATAGCGATAAAGATATAAATAAACCTGTGTCAAGTCAACCTCTCATCTCCCACCAAAGTTTTGTATTTGAACAAAGAGGGAATTTCCTGAGCTCAGACTAAGTGAGCAACAGAGTCACAAGAAGTCAATCTTATGCCCAGAGTGCGGCACACAGAGTGCGGCCACAGATTGCTGCACACATTGGGGAAAGTCTAGGATGTGAAATAGATATTACAGAGAAGACATAATAATACGGAAAAGGCTGTGTAACAGCCCAAGGGGAATGGTAATAAGGTTCCCAAAGTTGGTCTCAAASGAGATTATTTTCACACAACTTACCCTCCCATTGATATACCAACACCTATGACTGGACAACCTGGATAATTCTTGTGTATGTGGTCAATGACAAATTTGAGATCCTCTGTGTTTGCAGCACAGAAAGTTCTGGGAGTCTAGAAAATGAAAAGCAACAGGGAAAGATTTTATAAATGAATACAAAGTGGTGAGACTATGGCGCTCCCAGCTCCTCCGCCTTTGTCGGCCCTGACTACAGGTATTTATCTAATGTGATACCTTCAATTGTGATGCACCAAACCCTCTATGATTTGCAATGATTGTCCTGAAAGACAACAAGCAAAAAAAAACATTCTTTACTATTCTTTACTAAAATTCATCAGACTAAGAGTTCTTTACTTCATGAAGTTTGAAAAAATACTCATGTCTTTTGTCATGGAATACTTTGAAAGTTTCATCTCATATCTGCCTTATACCAACTTCTTATTTCCGTTCTTCCCTTATATCTTTATTATTTAATTGCTCTTTATGAAAAGTTGAAACTGCCAACAAATGCCCATGGCAGCAAGAGCTCTATTTCCCCTGATTTAGTAATTCCTAGCCGAAGAACATATATATTAATTAAAAGCTGACCTGTAACCAAGTTTTTCTCCTTGAAGAACTAAATGACGACAGTAGCTTGTTTCACTGCCACCTAGAGACAAAAGAACCTTTTCATCAAACTTTTCAAATTAAGTGTTTTTTCCAATCTCAGACCACATGTCATGCCCTTCTATAGAGGATCATTTCTTTGTTTACAGTGCAACTTGGAAAACTAATAATGGCTGCCGGCAAAAAATTTTATRTACAGTCTTTTGTAAGATAAATTGATACATTTTGATRRGAAGCTCTCACACTAGTTTTTAGCTAGTTATCTCTTCTTAGATTCACAAAAATATTATTTCRAGACTAACCAGTAAGTCCTGGCAGAATRAGAACTGTTGGTCTTTTTATTGGATCATTGTGGTGACTGTCGTGATGATCAAACCAATCCAGGCACATGATACCTCCATCGGGAGTGTCGAGGGTTTCCCTACAATACAAAAATGTTTAAGACTTTTGCACCCTTAATAATAATATTTTACAACCACCACTCCCCATACAGGGCTCTTCTGTGAGGTTCCCTCCACACGTACTACCAATACATTCTATATTTACAACGTACAACACTCAACTCACATGTTGATTTTTATGGAGGGAGGAAACTGGAGAACCTGGAGAAAACCCTYGTAGCATAGGAGAGAACAACACATCAAACAAACTCAATTCACATGTGGCGACTGCAGGGCTMAAACCAGCGACCCRACCCCTTAGACTCACAGCRGTGAAAGASRACATGTTAGCMGCAAACAMCACCYATGCTACCCTTGACAACCCAGGACAGAATTTTAGCCCTGGATTTCCAAGAATGAGACTTGAAATTTAATGGTAAATGCAAAACCAATTTGATGCCAGTTAATAAGGAGTCAAGTAAATTAGGAATAATTTATAGATCAAGGCAGTTATGTCACCAGACCTAATTCAGAAGAGTCCACTACCTCTAGAAATGAAATTCGGGATTATTATATCTCTGATTCTAAAAGACAAATCACAAAAATGAATGGTGGAGGGGGGTGGGGATCAAGGGGGCAGGGCTCCCTCACTTCATAGCAACAAAATGGTGGCTTTTTTGAATTTATTTGGCAATTTTCAATTTTTTTTTGTTTTTCTTTTTTGTGAAAATAAAATATAAAATGCAATCCCAATTTTTTTTTATTAATTTATATTTTTGGTTTGGGGTTTTGGAAGCTCAGACCAAAAAGGCAGACTTTCGAATTTGGGCCCTACCTTTTGGAAAATTCTGCCTACGCCTCTGTACATTAATGCTAAACAATGTATTTGTACATCAAAATGCAAAATGCACCTAAATCAATGACAGTAGGTTTCTATGTAGAAACATTGCTTTGAACTTRCCCCTCATCCTGCTCATTAGAAAAGTGTGCTTCATGATGGGGGGAGGGGAGGGTCAGAAAAATATAAGCTTAAATAGCTTGTGCTTAGCCCGGCCCTCAAAAAGTTCAAATCTTGACCATACTATTCACCAGCGCTTATAATGTCAAAGAAACTACATATTTATCGGTAGTACATTCAGCATTTCAAATGCCGAGTGACACCTATCGATTATTGATATGTCTTTATATAATGTAACACCGATCAGCATGAAAAAGTCTCTTATTTTAGAATATGGCTTTTTTTCACTCTAAAAATATTTTCGAGACGCGTCCAGTGACAATTTAACTTCCAATTTAGGGGAAAACTCCAATCTTGAAGTTGAAGTTTGACATGAAGTTTGTATGRAAATTATACAGTTTGTAGTTGCAGCATATTCAATCTTAATGAGATTACGCGTCTTTCAATAGATTTTTAAGACATGTAAGATTTTTTTAATCAAGCATTTACCTTCTAAAAGGCACGTGAGGACGGAGTCTCAACAAAGCTCTGATAACAGTCTGTGCATGAGGACCGAAACACCAGATCGTAGGRTAATAATATTCTGACAGTACTCCGCACTTCTCGACCAAAAAACGACGAAACGGGCCATCTTTGCCAATGATTCGAGGTTTCTTGACCACGAAGAAGAAATAATAAGTTAAATAAATAGTCAGAAAAGCAGAAATCAACGGGAACCATTGACAATCGTATAAAATATGAAGAAAATTGTACAGAGTCTCCATTTTGTTTTGTTGTTTCCCGGTCGCACGATTCAACTTGAGTTCGAAGGTCAGTTCTTCGTCGGCAACAAATCGTCAAATCTACGGAATATAACAAAATTCAATCGATGGCTGTCCGATACCTTACCGAAGACTCGCGAAAAAAAACCTTAGCTTTTACAAAGCTCTTTTACTAATGCTATTCTAATTTCCGTGAATTAAAGAGACTTATCAAAGTCCAAGTCGAGTACAACTTTAATATAATTCGCTTGTAGACTAATTACTTTTCTTAACGACATATTTTAAAAATATTTTAAAATATTTTGATTTTCATAAATAGAAAAGGTTTTCCAGTCCCTCACGGTCAAGTCCAGGTGACAGCTAACCTAATTATATATTCAAAATGGTCGTCAGGTTATGTTCTTTGGACTCCTGACACATTAGTACACCAAATTCTTTCACATTTCTCGTCACTTTTCCATTCATAAATGTTTTAATTCCTTCATTTTGTCGTAGGATTCACAATGAGTGAACTTTTTAACAATTACGAGCAACAATTCGGTACTTTAAGCGCTGAAATCACTGCCAAAATCTGTAAGATCCCAAACCTTCATGGAGGTAAGGACGACCAAAATTTACCGGATATGAGTTTCCTGAATGAAAAAATGCGTTATTATAGTTGTTATGACTTGTTTTTATTCGCTCAGAGGCTAAAAGAACTGCGGTTGGAGATGTTGAACGAGGGTTTGACGAGGCGAATGAGTTGGTAAGTTGAATATTTTGGCTTACAAGCCAAGATCAAAGTTATATAAAGCTTTACATACAGAATGGATATCGAACATCTCCAATGATTTGACCCATTTGATCGGCCATTGTTAAAYTAGATTTAAGATTTATTAATCTCTAAAAACATTCCTACTTTTTTGATTTTTAAGTCCATTTTTTAATTACAGTGTGTGTGTGTTAAAAATGCTTATTTTTATATTTTTAACWGTTATTTTCAATTCTTATGAGAGTTTGTATCTCTAGTACTTTAAAATTTATTTATTAAACAACCTCTGGGCTGACCAAAGTCAGGTAATGGCTAATTGACAGATCGAAGTTTAATTTAGCGTGTTTGGTTTTGCAGAGGGGAAAACCAAACAACTCAGAGAAAAACCCTTGTGAATCATGGGAGAGACCTAACAGACTCTATTGTGATACTGAGTTTTGGATTCAAACCCTAGATCCCATAGGCGAGCTATATCTAATCATGTCCCGGCGGGGGGGGAGGGGTATTTTTGATTGATCATGCCTGTATAGTCCATATATGGACAGGGTATGGTTTTTCGAGCTTCTTGTCATAAACAGGGTATGCAATTTCACTCAAGTTCCAAGTTCTTCCTGAATTTCCTGTCATATTCAGGGTTTCTAATTTTGTATTGACTGAAAGTGGTTATTATGGTCGTAAAAAAAAAGATACACAAGATGACATGATAATTGAAACAGGAACTCAGCGCAATTAGTTATATCTTTTGACATAAACAGGGTCTACAAATTTGAGTTTTTTTGTCATAAACAGGGTACCCCTTTCAGAATCCCAGTGGAACACCCCTACCCAAATCCTGGAGGAGTACCCCCCGGGCCATGCCCACCCATAGGTACTAGCGTATATATCATCCACAAAAGTAGTGATAAATTGACTTGATTACAATATGATGATCACTATGAAAAGTATCAGGGGTGACCATGAGAGCAAGGTAATTTTAAGCAAAAGTTTTTGTTTTTTTTATGCTCAAAATTGCCCTGCTCTTGTGGCTGTCTGCCATACTTTTAACAGTGATAGTCAATCTCAAAAATCAAACTGTTGAATTAACCCCTCCCCAACCCTTTACAGTTAAGAAAAAATAAATAAACTATGAGAAAKATCTATACATAGCTTCACCTAAGTTCTTGAAGTGTACCTTGAAACAGCCTCTTGGCTGATAAAGGTCAGGGCATGGATAATTCACAGAACTCAAATTGTAATTTAATGTAAATTTAGGCACTGCCTAAAAGCAGAGATCCCAATATAACACAGGGAGCCTAATTTAGATAAAACTGAAAGATGAAAATAAAATCAGACAAAAAATCTTCAATTTTTTCTTGTCAGTAACGCAATGCTGTCTTCTCTGGTTACGAAACCGCACCTGTATAGTTTTACTAATCGAGTGTCATTCCACTTCACTGGTTAAAAGATAGACAAAAGTGGTACATTTTTATTAAAATAAAACACATTTAAAAGGTGTACCCTCTTGAATAAATTTGATGTGAGAAAAAAAAGTGTTTTCAGGTTCTGAAAGAAAATTACACCTAAAATGTTCCAAAGTACCTGGTCCTCCCAAATGAGGGTACATAACGAAGATTAGGTGTTAAGTGAGCTCCAGCATACCAGCACATTGGGCAACCCAGTGYACGCTCCAAGAGACTCTAGTTGCATTTTTTTGCAAACTTTTGGAATAGAATCACTAGTTATTTATAATAAAATAAAAACCATAGAATAAAAGTTGCAAAATTGGTGTAAAAAGACGTCTACGTTCCGTACGATCCAGACAACCAAAGTCCAGTCCAGTCCATCTATGTACGGTTCCATATTTTCCAAAAATTAAAAACACTCAAAATTCGGCCATTTAGAAGAAAAAAACAAGTTTTAGAAGTTGTGCATGTTTTTGACAAAATCACTTTAGTCGAGCCATGGAAAATCAGCTTGATGGTTTACCATTTTTTCTTAAGTATGGTGCTCCACAGGAGCTCCACTATTAAGTAGAGTTTTGTGAAGGGATAGAAACTGAAAATCCCAGAGAAAATCCCCTTTAAATAAACAGAAAACTTGCCCTATTCTTCCAACACAAATAATGTAGGTATTCTTTTCTCTCAGTTGGAACAAATGGATCTTGAAATGAGAGAAATGAGTGGCAACGAAAAAGCAAAAATATCCAACAGATTGAAAACATACAAAAGTGAAATGAAAAAGTTTCAACAAGATCTTGTAAGTGCTCATCTTTTTATTTTTCATATGATACTACTTTGACAATGTGATGACAAMATTTATYGTCAATAAGAGGACAGACACAAAAAACTGATGTCAATACAGATTTACAACAACAAAAACRATAAAAACTTCTCATTCTTAGTGATCAAAACARCYAACTGAAAGAGCGTGCACTCRTTACRTCAGCTTTATCTGTCTGTCCTCTTATTGATGATAAAAAATAACCAATCAGAGATTTGTAAGTTATAGTAAAAACCTTTATTTTCCATTCTCRTTCACATTTTTTCACTTTCATTTTTTCATACATATCTAGAGAATGAGTAAGACAAAACATACTTACCAAGTATTATTATTATTATTACTCAGTAATATTTCTCCCAGAACAAGATGAAAATATCATTTCCATTTCTCATCTCATTTGCATTTTCTCAATCTCTTGTTTTCATACATTTAGAGACAAAATACATGACAGTGTATATGTACTGGTATTTTTAGATAAGTTAGCGAAGTTAGAAATATTCCTCCAAGAACAGGCTGAAAATATTGACCATAATATTCACCTTCATTAAATTTATTTTCACCTCCAGAGAAAAGCAAAAATAGCATTTTCAGACCAAGAAGGAAGGAATGAACTTCTAGGTAGTGATGACCCTCATTGCTCAGAAGATCAAGTAAGTTATTAACATGTTTTCTCCACTTATTCTTTATTAGTTTTCAATATTTATTTTTTATTTTTTATTTTTTTTGGATTTTCTTCCCGCTTCTTATGACAACAGTGTTGATTCCTTTAAACTGAAAATTTTTAAAGAATCCTTCCTAAAGTTCTTAGAACTCTAATTATTTAGWATAACCAGACAATTTTCTTTGTCCTTACATTGCATGCAAATGCAAATTATTTCTTTAGCACTAATATCTATTTGATTTTAACAAAGTTAATTTACTCCTAGAGAACACGCCTTCTTGATAACACGGAGAGGGTAGATCGCACTGGGAGAAGACTGGAAGAGGGATATAAAATGTGTATTGAGACAGGTTAGTTACTAGCTGATTTCACTAGCATCACACCACTTTTGATCTTTGAAGTCTTCAAATTTTATCAAACCCTGAAATAAG